ATTGAGCCTTTGAAGAGCTCACAGTGGATATGTTAGAAGTGAAGTTCTTAACCCTCTGCGATTGGTGTGACAGCGATTTAGCATTTGCAAGAGAAGATAATTCAGTTCGTATGTCTGTCAGTGTTTCAGTGGAGTTCTTTTCACTCAGTGATTCAACTGAGATACTCAGCTTAGATATTGAGGAGCTAGAAGGTGATTCTTGAGCACTCGTAGTTCTAAAATCGGTGAGCTGAATTCCTCCTCGAGCACCTTTTTGAAAAATAAATGATTGGAGATTGGGTCTGCCTACATGACCCTGATCGGAGACAGACGGGGATAAATTACGAATGCTCGATGGCTTCTTTGTCGCTTCGTTGAGTGAAGAAGTGAAGATTCCTCTCGATTTTATGTTCACTGATTCTAATTGGCTAGCTGCATCCCTTTCATCCAATCCAGTTTCTGTCTGTGGATTTGAATCGCTCACTTGTGAATTAAACTTGGATTTCACAATCCGCCTTCTTTGTTTGCAATATAACAACGGCGGTTTCGAAAGCTTCCCTGAATCCTTTGGCGCATTCAAAGTACTTCCTCTTGATGGACTTTTTGATTTCATTGAGATTAAGGAATTTTCATGAGAGATAGCAGGAGAGAGTTTTATTGTAATTCGTGGTGACTTTTGCACAGATTCATAGTTATTAATATGTTTTTTTGCAGCAGGAAGGTTTTCAAAATCACTTGGTCTTGATATTTTGCGCTTAAGAGGATGGAGTGATTTTAGAAAATGCGTCAAAACCCCAATTTTTGCATAACTCTCACCACTCAAAGGTTGAAGACCAGATTCAGATGTTTCATTCAATGGTGAGATATGAAAGTTTGGTAATTCTTCTGTTTTAGGGTCTGAAAATTCGTCCAACGTCCCGATTAAGGCAGTTTTGGTTGTTAAAGTCTGAGGTGTCAATTCGGAAATTTTCAAAACAGTTGGTTTTCCGAGACTGTCCACTTGTTTGGGGTTTTCGCAATTTAGGGATAAATTCGCGAGACTGGAGAAACCGGAACTTTTGAAGGGGCTGATCGGTCCAAAATCTGGTGTTAAAATTATTTTTTCGATGCATTCTCTCGCACAGCTATGAGATTTCATGCTAGAATTAGTACTTTTTAGTAGCGATAAACTAAGACCATTCAATTGGTCTTTTGTTCCTACACTGGTTGAATCCTTCAACGAACTTATCGGCTCTAGACTAGCTGATTTCAGATGCATACGATCCTCGTTTGAGGAGAATGCCAAATAACTACCGTCAGGACAACTATTACATTCCTTTTGCGACCCCAAAGAAGATATTTCAGCTGCTTTTAGTAGCTTGATGTCGATTACATCCTTACAAGAAGGACTGAGTCCTGTGCTTACCATCGATATGCTCATGGATCTAGATGAACCAATTTCATCTATTGTTGAAGAATATGGACAAAGGTATTTATCTTCCTGTTCGCTTCGTAGTTGTTCAAGAAGACCAATTTCGTTTCCATCTTGGTGTTCATATTCTTCACTTATATTACAAATTTGATAGTTTTTAAGTACTTCAGCATATCCAACAGGCGAAAAAACTGAATCTCCAATGGGTTTTACAGTCCCCACTTCACCAATGGCTTCAACTGACATTCTTGGGGGAAGGCTTAATATGAACGATCCGATATGTTGAATATCATCTTCCCACGCTGAGGAAGATCTGCAGTCGAGAGCTGACAGTCTAACTAAAGATGTTTGTACTCCCCTACTCCTTAATTGTGGTATACTTTCATGGGCTGAGTCTTCCACCTCTTCATCCCGGACAAACTCCCATTTAATCGGTTTGATTAGCCGCCGTTTCCGTTTCATCCGGGACAAAGTTTTTTTCAATTTTGGTAAAGGTTTAGTCGGTGGTGCAATCATGACACCCTTATTAACGCGTCTAGCTTTTCGCCGTTTGATAAACATTCTTAATTTTTCTCCAAATCCTGGTCTTCTAACTGCCTGTAATCGACGTCTTATCATGAACCTAAAGGGTTGATGAATTTGTCTAAACATTTCTGGTGGAAGTGTCTCTTCCAGATTCGGAGGTTTTAGTGGAACAAGGAACTCATCATGTTTTCTACGGGAAAAGTATTTGACATAGAAGTAGTCATACTCCTCATCAGAGCTCCAAATCTCAAAATCCACCTCATTAGAGAGGGTATTCACTGGGACGTTGCAGTACATGCAAATGCCACCCAAATTCACCTGACAGAGCTTGCAATAGTATACTCCGCAGCGAGGACACTGGGTGAAATTCTGCTGAAACTCAACCTTCTTCTTGGGATTCCCAGGAGCGGTGCACTGGGCACAGAAAACTCGCTTTATACCGGCCATTGCAAAGTAGCGCGCCAGTTGGGGATGCAAAAAGATGAAACGGTCAAGTTTTTTCAGTTTACCGCCTGAAGACTCGGCATCAGATTTCTTTAACTTTCGATTAAACAATTTGTGAATAAATTGATGAAAGAGCCCCCGTGTGTTTCGAATGTAAGTTCGTAGCCAGGCGGCTCTGCGGTTTGCTCCGTCTGGGTAATACCAGGCTAAGATTAGATGACGAAGTCGAAGTACGTAGACCTAGGGATTAGAGTGTAAAATCTTGGTCGAATGTGCTTAATTTTGATAAAAACAGAAAAATACAAAGTTTCTTTTTTCTGCTATGGTTCACAGAAAATAACCTAAAGAGGTGTAGACTATTATCAGCTACTAAGTTATTAAAAAAATAGCTTTTGTATACATGTTGGTCAAGTCATATGTCTAGAAAAGGTTATGAAATCGTGATTCAAAATTGTAGCTAGCTAGACTCTGCGAGCAAGCCGTAGACAAGTTAAAGTGGGTACTTGGACAATGATGCTGAGGAGAGTTAGAACCAAAGCTAGGCCAATCAGAATGGTCGTCTCATGGTCCGGTTCCGAAGGTCGTGGTCGACATATAGTGGCGTCCACACTGAATGCGATGTCTTTTAGAGGATTTGCCAGATTCATAAAACTACGCCCAATTTCTGACATGGTGGAGTTGCCCTGAATCTCTGGAACTACTTGTTCACTTGCACCGAATCCGAAATCCGATATTTGATCGGATATGCCTTCCTCAAGAGTCTATCAAAATAGTAAGGAATGTTCGTTTAATTTATGTCGAATTTTGCACAATGTAAGATAGAATAATTTTTCCAGAAATGCAGAAAATAACCTTTTCCTTTACAAATCATGCATAAGCGTACAAAAAGCCGTAAATGCATAACAGTCAAAAATTGTTAAAATCGAACAAAGCAAACCTGTTGCACCTCGCCAAATCCAGTAGAAAATGCTGGTGAAGTTGTGAGCACCACTTGATACATTGCGTAATCGGCGAAAATGATGAGCACAAGGGTTATTATACCGACAAAGAGGAATACCAGAGATCCTACAGCCGCATTGCGCTCCGTCTTGGACCATTGACACGCCGTCAGGGTGACATAATTCATACGTTCAGAGTGGGTTAGCGGGAGGGCGGTAGGTCGACCATGTTCAAGTGCCCTGCGCTCCTTTAGAAAAAGAAAAAAAGATTATTTTTTAAGCTGGAAGCAAAACTAATTCCAAATAAACGATGGTTTTTAAGGACTCCTTTAGTTTAGATAAACCATCATTCTGCAATAGTTAAATAAGGACCTTCCAGGTAGAAGTTAGCTGAATAAACAGGTGGATGTTGCACTACTGATGCTTTGATGTCAATGGGAGAGTATTTAAACTTACTTGTGCTACAAACTGTGGCGTGATGTGGCCATTGTCAAAAAAGGGTTTTTTAAGCCACTTTTTTCTGTACATTGCAGCTTGCACGATCAGCTGAATCACCGTGAACAGCGTCCAAATGGTGAGCACCCAAGCCATAGCGCGTTTAAAGTAGTTCAATCCATTCATCATGAGATCCATTTTTTCTTCAATCATCGTCGTCACCACTGTCTGTGAGGAGACATTCATGCCAAAACTGATGTCTGTCATTTCCTCCCCCACCTCAACGCTAATGTTCTCATGGCCCAGGAAACGCAGAATTGAGTCTTCACTGTCCTCCAACTGCTCCTCACTCACTGGTACCACATTGGTCATCTCTGAGTGGAGGCGGTTTGACTCCCGGACGCAGATATCGTTTAGCTTTGCCACTCCATTGCATGCCTGATCGGCAAACATCCGTACTAGGTTACAAAGAAATGACATTGACTTCATAGACGCCGCACAATTGAAGTATAATGTATTAAAGAAAGCAAGGCACTGGTTCTTCATAGCAATCTCATCACCACACGCCTCCACCATAGCACGAATCCAATCGGACTTTTGATTCAATATTTTTGTCGCCATGAAGATCACCTCTTTCAGTTTTCTCAATGACATTCGTGCTGCAAACAACCGGTTGTTTATATTATCAATGAAACCACTCAGTTGCTTCACTATGATCTTTAACGGTGCCTTAGTGATTTTGCCCATTAATTCGACGTTGGCACTAACCTGACCTAGTACACAGGCAATGGCATTGCGAAAATTGCCAGAATTATGCATAAAATTGAGTGCTGGGCCAGTAGTTGCTAGGGTGGTGGCAATTAGCATTAGCAGCCAGCGCGTTCTGCTGGCGACAAGGTAGGGCAAAGTGATTAGAAGAATGCAACGAAAATCGGAGGAGAAGGCAATTCCGAAAACAGTGAGCATCATCATATAGCATGCAGCCAGGGCGGCCATGTGAGGCATATGAGCAAAGGCAGTGGAGAAGAAGGGAAAGGAAGCAAAACCTATGATAATACCGGCAGTTATTCCAAGATAATTCTCCCGTAGAAGGGTACCTGCGTCCAATTTAGAGGTTGCTGAGTACCACGAAAGAGGTTTTTTGAAGTAGATTCTTGGCGTGTACTTACAGCAGGTTTTGTCACACAGCCTCTGTAGCCTAGACATGAAACGTTCACAACAGGATGGCTTTTCCAGCTTCAAGAGGATCTTATTAATCTCTTTGCGTGCCTCCAGTTCCTGAATGAGGGCCTCGTCAACATTCTCTTCTGGTTTTTCACCTTCCAGATTTGGTTCCAATTTGGATCCACAGGTGTCAAAGTTTCTAGGCTCTTTTGATAGGTTGGATGCGTTTCTATCCACCGATTTACAAATCTTTATTTTTCTGCTTGTGTTGTTGTTAACTACACCGGAAGTTAAAGACCCTTTTTTGGGCTTTTTCTTCTTAGAAGGGAGTTTCTTTTGGGCAGGAACCATGTTGTTAGCTTGATTTCTCTGGAAGTTGCACATGTAGGTGAGGTTCAGACGCCTACAGAGACTAGGATTTTCAATGTCATCCTCAGGCTCTTCTGATAAAAAGGCATCAAATATCTTCTCAAATCTGCTAAGCCACTGGGGCCCCTGACAAACATTCCTCTTACCTGGACCAGTGATTTGTGGATTGGACATCTACTCTTAAGGTCAGAATTAGTAAAAAAAATAGTATTAAGATAATTCTTGAGGCAATTTTATCTATAGTAAGTGAAATATTAAGCTTTCAGTAATAGCACAAACCTGAGATAGATTTATTTGTTTTTTCTCTCACTAGCCAATTAGAAAAAGGGTGTCCTTTATTTGCGTCATGCATAAATCAGTTAAATGATAAACCAAACTTCAAATTATTGGCAATTTGCTACCACATTAGAAGGATTTCGGTATTCTTCAACAAAATTTTTGGAACATGTTTTAAAATATTGACAGATTTGTTATCAACAAATATATTTATTCAGGTATCTACCTACCTACCCCGAAAATGTCCAAATTTGTGCTACATTTAGCAATGTTGTGGTCTCAGAGTTAATTGGTCAATCTAAAATCCATATAATCAATAATTTTGAAAATTAACTACCTTTAATATAGGGCAGCATGTTGGTGTCTCTTCCAATTGTGCATAGAAAATCATCTCGAAGGCGAAGAATGCATCCTTTTACTTCCTTTTAAAATTTTCTGGCGCAGATGTCTCACGGTTCACTTACCCGCCTCTACAATATCTAGCAGCTATAACTTAAGTAAAAACATTTTAAAGTTTTCTCTTAATTAATTTGTATCACAAATTTACTACTAATACGCATATTGCGTCATATCACGATTTTGTAATACGGTAGTGGTTTATCCCTCGGTAGTAGTGAGGTGCCACTTTTTACTTTGAATTAGCCCTCTTGTACCTCACTGGGTGGGCTGGCCTTTCGAACCATGCCAATAGCCCAGACACCTTCTCTGCGCTAAGTATAAAATCTGCCCGAGTATTTTGTCTTCTTTCGTCTTCAGGGAGTCTCGGGACGCTACAATATCTTCGGTTTATCTGCTTTGTGTACACCTAGATCTCATTTTTCTGTACCCCTGCCTATCGGCTGCTTCAAATGAGTTAGTTTACTTTTTGGAAAGTGGGATTTAGACCATGTAACAGTGGTATGTAAACTGGAACTTTTAATTATAACAGGACGGGGCAATCAGAACCATCAAATCGAGACGTGAGCAAGTGCGGAAAGCGGGGACATCACATAAACCACAGGGTGAATGAACTTGACTGTAGGCGGTGCAGTACCTAAAAATAGACTGATTTATGTCAAAATCCGAGGAAATAATTCTATTGATAAGGATAATTCTTTGTCCTGATGTAGGACTGACCTAACGTGTACAAACGCTAAGCTGTCGGAATTGCTGGTATTCAAGCTAGTCTTGCGTAAAGTTTGGAAGTCACAACAGTCTCACAGTAGTCCACCAATAAAAAGGGATGTTATTTTGGTATCTCTGTTTATAGAGAAAAGGTTATGGTAAATCCTTAAGCTACTGCGGTATTTGGCAGACATTAAAAAGGTAAAGACAAGAGGAAATACTTCCCAATCCCTTTTGATCTGACGCAAACGATTCATTTAGCTAGAGGCTAAGGAAAAGATTACATCGAGATCAGTAATATTACCCCACACATTACGTGAGGTCATATTGAAGTGCCTTAGAATAGAGCTATGGACCCAGAAGTTCCAATGTGACAGGGTCCGGGGAGGCAGCTGATCAGGTAGACCTCTCATTTCTATTCCTGTTGTGACTCAATATTTGCCGACCTTGCTCTGCAATGTAACGGTCCAAGTGAACACTACGCTCTTTTAACTGAGATGTTCAAGTGGTATACTTCCCATCCATCTCTCAGCTAAAATCCAAGGGGGTTCCTTCAAAACCGAGGTGACTAGGTGGCGGCAGCTGTTTGAGCCAGGGCCAAGCAGCTGTCTTAGTCGGACATAGTTATAGTAGCCGATCAACCCTGGGTTGAGAGGGGTTATTAGCGCAATTAGAGGGCAGATAAACGTGCTCTCAGCCATTGAGGAGGGATTGAACGCCAGTGCGATATCTGGGATGTTACGATATTAGCTATTGTAAATGAAACCTCTAGAAAATTGAACAGCTGCGTTTCACGGAGGTTTGGGTAAAGCCCAGGGCTCTCGTAATCTCTATGCATTTACGAAGTGAGCTCAAACCTTACAACTGTGGCTATAATTATCGGCAGAAATAAACTTTTGGGCATTTGTATAGAAGTTTTAAGTGCCAGCTTGACGATTAGCATGTAAAAGGAAAATTTCAAGACAGCATGTAAACCATCTACTGGCGAACTCCGCGCAGGTCATGACTTAATAGCTGATCTTTATCTATTTAACAAAAGTATGCATGTAATGCATCTAGAATCCCCCGCCCCGCCCATACAAGCAGAAAATATGCAAATAATAAGAGACTTCAGCAGTCCAAAAGCATAAGTGATATGCTAGGTATTCTCAGTGCAAGTATATATACGTAGTTGCATTCACCAGTATGATAGTCAAAAGCATCAACGTGAGGAGGGTAAATCTTCTTCACTCTTTCATAGTTATCTTTCGACAGAATGCCCAATGTGCAGTAAATGCTAATTGTGCAGAAGGAGAGCTTCAGCGTTAAAGTGCTGTCGACAGTAACGTCCAAGTACTACCATTTTTAGGATTACTAAAAGAATTTTAGGTATTTATAAAGATATAATGGCAAAAACAACTGAAAAATCTTATAAGAACTTTGTGACGTCATAATACACAGAAACAAAAGCAAGTACGATTAAGCAGAACGCAGAGCAAGCAAAAGTAATTTAAGGGTTGCCAACGATGCACACAATAAGAAACATTCCTGCCCATTTCACGTAGGTAGGTTCAAATACAGTTGTAATGCTTTGATAGCTTATTTAACTCTACGTTTAACTAAACGGTATGACCACTGAACCTGACCAGTAGTCTCAGCTCTTCTGTGAGTTAGTAATGTAAGTTCTGCTACATTACTGCTGCTACGTATGACTTCGGAGAAGACTCAGGACGACATACTGCGAAGGAGATTAATGGCTACAACACGTTGGTAATTAGCGCATTTTAAACAGGTAACTTTGGATTATATCAGCACAGAATCCATAAAGTGTGAAAAGGTGCTAAGTAAAATCGGTCATATGCCACCAAATTTTAATAAAGGATACAGCTGGAAAATGTGACTTGCCCATACATGGACACTTCGATCTATTAAAAGGGTTTTGACTGTGCATTTTCATAATTCGAAATAAATCAAGCATCAAAATTGGGTATTTATTTATCAAAATGGAAGGGGTCTAAATTAAGAACGACCACAACAACCCAAATATTGGCATCAAGTAGTAGTTTAGTCATCTGCCACGGCTTATTAGATTGCTAAATAATGCCATTATAAAATGCTAAATAAAAGCAATGATTTATTTGAGGATTATGGTTAGGTTGTTATTGGATTAATTTCACTTATCTTTCAAGAAATACTAACTCTGGTTATAGAGCTTTTCAGCTGCGAAAAGACCATTTAAAAGTAAACAAAAATTGCGTAATTTGTCTGCTTTCAAGTGACTAATGTTTTCTAAGCCTTGAATGGCGAAGAAATTGACCATAAATGCTAACCGTATCTCAGGATTTGGTCAATAAATTTGAAAGACACTGGCGGCAATCCAAAGGTTGTCTCCGTGTTTTGTCTTTCCCCAGGGTCCTGTTCGAATGGATTCGGTCCATAAATACTGAGCCGAATATACGAAAAGCGATCACTCAAATTGTCGTTTCTGCAATAGCGCCAATGCAAGGCACTGATTAAGAATAGGGGCTCCTGTTCAGTCCCATGTATTCGGTGAAAAAACGACCCTTTGGTATTATTACCGTTGCTTTTGCAAGAAGTCCAAAATCCTACAAACAAGTGACGTAGGAACTCGGATGGGCTCTAATTTGAACATCATTGAAGGATTTGTCAGGGGACAAAGGCGGGAAGCTTCAATGTTCTGGTTCTGTGCTGAACATAATACGGGTAAATAAAAAAATGCTTAATCTCTTCTACGCTTATCAAGGTATTCAAAAATCTTATTTTCAAATGCCTTCCACGATCCTCTCTTCATCGATTGAAAATCAGGTGAAGTGGGCTTGGCTTATCACGTCAAGTGCTTAGTGAGAGAAAGTCTTGGAACAGATATCTCAGAGTAGTTACTTTTGTGAGTGCTTACCCCTGTAGGATTCGTAACTTTAGCAAACTTATCTCAGGGGGAGTTGATTTGCTAGATATCGTGACTAACGCTAGGCCGTAAGTTTGTTTAACATTTTAATGTGACATCTTTTACACAGCTTAGCTTTTTCTCCACGTGAATGAGATACCTCATTACAATATATGTGAAAGCATTGCTTAATGTCACTTGTGCCTAAAGGATTTCCCTTTCTTTGTATGTTTTGAGCCTTTCAAACTTCTGCTTCCACATTAAGTTTTCAGATGGGGCAGGTGCTCAGGGTATTGTAAACTCTGGGTATCGTGCTCTGTTCAAAAAATCCAAATCACCGTCAGACAAAACGATCTTTCGAAGATGCTTTGAATGTGATCTTTTTCTCTAAAATCCTAAGTAAATGGTCCAGATATGGCCTATTGGCTCCCTGAGGAAGGCAGGAATTTGGATGAGGTGTCATCGATGAAGATGTGCTGATGTTGCGTCCTTTCAGAAACAGGGCGGTAAACTGTAGCGCCTTCGGGGGTAGTTGAACGCGGAGGCGTCGACAAGCGCGCTGGTCGGTCTGGTTGAGCTCAACCCTCAGCTGGTGTTCGCAGACCGCGCCGCTCTCCTGGACCCCGTTGCGGACGCAATGCTCTTTGTCGCACTTTCCGCTGCCCCCTCGATTGTGCTCTGCTCATCTCTGTCG